AGAAATTGTCCAACTGCACATAAATGTTTAAAGTCGCTCAGTTTATTTTCTGATTGTTTCTTAATCTCTGCTGTGTCTCTTGTCAGTTCCCCTTTCCATTCCTAACTGGGTGGATTTGTGTCTCTATTATTTTTCTTGAGCAGTATTGCCAGAGATATTTTAAATATTTTTCCAAAGAAATAGCTTTCAGCTTTATCTTCTCCATTGTATATACTTATTCTCTTTAATATGTATTGATTCTGTCTTTATATTTATGATTTCATTTTGACTGTTTTATTATATTAATTCAATGGCTTTAATTTTAAGACATTGAATTCATGCTTACTACCTCATTAATTTTCTCATTCTGCTTTATAATGCAAGCATATGTGCCCATAATATTCTCTCGAAATACCATTTCAGATCCAGCCAACAATTTTGGAATGTAGCATTTCTCACTTTCATTCTGTCCTAAATTTTAAAATGTTTATTATTATTTCTTTGAAATGTATTTTTAAATGTCAGCAGAATGTGTTATTTTATGTTTTTGATAATGATTTCTAGATTTATAACTAAGTTGTCAATGGTCGAAAAGCATGGTCCACGTAATACTGAATCTTTGAAATTTGTTTTGGAATTTAAGATGTTATCAATTTTGTAAAATTTTCAGTGTATATTTTTAAAATGAATATTTTCAATTGTTTAATAAAGATATCTATATATGTCACTTGAACAAACCTTTTGATTTTATGGCTCACATCTTCTTTATCCTTTTTTCCCCCATAAGTTATTGAGGTACAGGTGGTATTTGGTTACATGAGTAAGTCCTTTAGTGGTGATTTATGAGATTTTGGTGCACCCATCACCCAAGCAGTATCCACTGCACCGTATTTATACTCTTCTATCCTTCACCCCCTTCCACTTTCCCTCCAAGTCCTCAAAGTCCATTGCATCATTCTTATGCCTTTGTGTCCTCATAGCCCAGCTCCCACATTATCAGTGAGAACATATGATGTTTGGCTTTCCATTCCTGAGTTACATCATTTAGAATAATAGTCTCCAATCTCATCCAGGTTCTTAATTCTTAATGATGGTTTTGCATGCTTGAGAAATTTACATGTATAAATTTCTCCATGTAATTAAGTTTTGTTTTATAAATGTTGAGACTATTTTATTAGATGCATACAAGTTTAGAATGACAATATTTTACTAATGTTAACTAACTTTATTCATTTTCTAGCAACCTTCTTTATATCTAGCAAAGTTTTTGACCATGTCTATTTTGTCTAGTGTGTGTGTGTGTGTGTGTGTGTGTCTTGGTGGTTAGTCTAGCTAAGATATGTCATGGAAACAAATATACCAAAATGTTTAGTGACTTAATATATGTTTCATTCACACAAGGCCCGATGTATATGTTATAGATGTCCTAGGAGACTCACTTTTGAGTAGAATCCAAGCTCCTTCCTCCTTGAGGCTCTACAATATCAGAATCTCTATTAAGCTTTAAATAAGAAAGGGAAAGGTTAAGCCAAGGATCTTGCGAGGAATTTTACTGGTCAAATTTGAGTTTCATTAGGTCTGCTGAGCATCTAGTGAGGCTTAACCCAGTAAAAATATATATATACATGCAAACATATATGTATATACACACATACATACATGTGTGTATATTTATACATAATGGTATATGAATATATTATATATGCCATATGTATCACCTAGTGTGTGTGTATATATATATCATCACATATGTATAATCATCTTCTGCTATATAGAGCACATTCACAAGAGTCCTGAGATGTGTATAGTATCATAAAAAAAGAAAGTGAGCCAAAATCATGTGGAAGATTTCAAGGGGCAGACTTGGAAATGGTCTTTCATCCACATGTCATTAGACATAAAACATGTGGCCCCAATATAAAATCAAAAACAGATTAGGAAAAGCAGATATCCTCCGTGCTTAGAAAGTGGAAACAAAATGAGTGAGCATTTCGTCAGTCACAACACCCAGTTCTCATTGTTTATATTTGCCTAGTATAAATTTTTATATTTTTTTATTCTAATTCTTTCCGAATCTTTATATTTTAGGCATTTCTGTTGTAAATATTTTATAATTTAATTCTTTTTTAAAAATCTGATCTGACAATCTCTGTCACTGCAATAGGGAGTTTATTCCATTTACATTTAATGTGATTATTTATAATTGTTTTTCTATGGTTCTGAGATTTTCCACCTGTATTCTTTTTTTTGAGCCTTTTTAAAGATTGTTTAGTCTTCATCTTTTTCCTACTGCTCTGGTGACTTGGAAGCTGTACATTGTTTCTTTGCTTGTTAGCAATATCTCTATATCCTCACTGAAATTATTTCTTAAAAATTTCTAATTAAAAAATCTGTGTTAAACTTACTATACTCCAGTGTGTTCATTTCTCTTACTTTAAAATTCACAAATTAGTGATTATTACTATTATCTCTATTTCACCTAAATCAATGCTTGCCTGGATTCACAGACACATTTATCAGTTTTTTTCTTTCTCTCTCTCTTTCTCTCTCAAATTTCTCTTGTATCTTAAACATCTGTTATCAACTTTCTTCTTCCTGAATTATATTTTTAGAGTTTTTACAATAACCTATTAATTTTGTACACTTAATTTTATTTGTTCAAAAATGCCTTCTATCTCTCTTTATTGAATTGTAGTTTACTTCACATAGAGTATATAATGATTAAAGTGTATAAATGATAAATGAACAAAGTTATGCTTAATACAGAAAAACCTAGGTAGATTTTAAAGTGTTACCTTTTTTAAATAAATATGTTAAAATGTAATTTATTTTAGTGCCCAAGTAATTAAAGTAATTGAATTACTGTTGAGTTTTCCTGTGGTAAATGTATTCTTTCTTGTGCGATAGAGTGAAGGGTTTTTTGTTGTTGATGTTCTGAAAGCTATTTTAAAAAATTTATCAAGATTCAAATAAAAGCTCAACCAAAATCAGTATTGCTTATTTTGTGATTAAATTCATAATAAATTTATACTGTTAATTTTTCTTCGCCTGTCTCTCAGACATAAAATTCACATGCAGTGCAAAAATAAATAGTACTATGATCTATAATAAACCTCACAACTTTCAAAAATATCATCTAGAAATAAGAGCTTGAATGTTCTTTTAAAATGTATCTCTGAGTATTTTGCTATTTTTACACATTAGATTTTCTAAGTCTATATACATTGTAATAGAGTGTGTACTTTTTTTCTTGATCTCCCCAAAACTGTATTTTCATGTATAGATCTTTCTTATTTAAGAAACTTAACCAACAGTGTAGAAGACAATCTGACAAAGCCAATTTGTCAATGTCAGGAGAATTATCCCTCTTCAGAGATGATCAAAGATGCCTAGCTTGAAGAAAAAAAATAAGTAAAAATTATGCTAAGCTCATACCATTTACATTTCTTATCAAATTACTTTTGCTTAATTCAGAAACATTACTTTTCAAGCAATCTATCTTTGAGATAAATGCTAAGCCAAGAAGATTTATTATTTCAATGCAAACTTCAGTTTTAAAGAATATAAATTGACTTTGAGCAGACCAAGGACCTATTAAAGTCAGAGAGGTGTCTGCAAGTTGAGCTCTAAGAATGTGAAAAATGCATGGATTAAGAAAATTAGGGAAATCCAACACCGAAGAGAATGGGAATGATTTTATCTAGATGATTTTTTTTCCTGCTAGCCATTTCAGAAGGAAACTACATTTAACAGTTTACAACTTTAGCTTATGTAATATAAATTAATATGACCTATATACCAACAAATGTTGACAGCATCAAATAATCATAAATATGACTCAGAAGAATAAACTTCCTATTAAATATTCTCCATTTTGGGTGTCTAAAATACATGACATACATTTACTGAAAAATATCTGTAAATTAAGGAAATGAACCACTTCTTTTTAAAGATAAAAGATTATCTAATATTAACTTATATGCAATCCCTCTCTTGATGTCCCATGACAAATGAAACATGACTCTATAAGCTTTTTGATTCTTCTCAATTTGTATTTGACCAATGAACAAATTTTAATTTCCAAAATGAACACATTTTTAATTTCTACCTTCATGATAGCTCGATACACTTAAGAAGAAAACAAAACAAAGTAAAAGTCTGAAGATCAAGCCAGACACAGAAAAGCACACATTATATGATTTTATTTATAGAAAATATGAGATGAGTCCAAACGAATCTATGCTGTTAGAATTTGGGTGCTATTATAGCTATGCTTTGGGCAGGGGGAGGGAGGGTGACTGGAAGGGAGCATGAGGTGTGCTAGTAATGTCATGTTTCTAGGTCTGGATGTTGAATCTTGAGTTTGTTTGGTTTGCAAGAATTTATAGAGCTATGTATTTCTATATATGCATATTATGCTTCAATTTAAAAAGTTTTTAAAAACCTGAAAGTCAGTATTAGAGCTATATAACAGCCTTTACACACACAGATGCTAAATTACACGTACAGTGCTAAGTTAGCTTCGACTTCAAAGCTGTCTGAAACGGGAGCCATGATAGTATTTGTGAAAGTCGAGGCATATCTCTAAAATGTCTTTTAATTTAGACTTTGCTGGATTAACATAGCAATATTAAATACTATTTTAATAAGTCATGGAATATAAAAATAGAGATAAATAAAATGTCATTAAATCTCAATGCAAGTAACCTGAGAAAAGTTGGCTTTGTTCAGAATTCTACTATTTGAATTTGAGAGTAAACAAGGCTCTTTCTCTGTAGTTATAAAATAGCATTTTAATGAATGATTAGTAAAGCTGTTCAAGATCACACAAAAAGAAAAAACTCAATTGATGTTAGATTTCTAGGTCAAATGAAACCATAGAATCCTTTCCTCATTCATTGTCCTAATCTGTTGGGTTTCTGCACAAAATCAGCACATTATCAGGTGCAGTTATCTCACATTGCATTCCCTACTATCAGAAGGCCCGTTGCTAAGAGATGCCTTGTTTCTTTGCCTCTTAGAGGGAAAAGAAGAATATTGCTGCTCAGCGAATTAGGGGATCCAGTGCAGAGAGCCTTGTTACTGCTGATAGCCCTCCACCATCCATGTCATCAGTTATGAAGAATAACCCACTCTATGGTGACCTAAGTTTGGAGGAAGCTATGGAAGAAAGAAAAAAGAACCCATCATGGACCATTGAGGAATATGACAAACGTTCCCTGCACACAAACCTCTCTGGACATCTGAAGGTACTCACAACTAAGTGTCAACTTCTTCAACTGATAAGGGAGATCAGTCAAATAATCCTAAAAGAAAGCATTATTGAAGTGACAGGTATTCTTCACTAGGCACAGAATCTCTAGATTTCAGAGCATTTTGGCTCCTGGCTTTTCTTTCTCCCTTCTAGTCAGTATTTATGTTTATTTGTTTTGAGTTTTACAGTTTCGACAGTTACTGGCAACTGTATAGTATAGAGAAGAAAAAAACTATGTGGCACAGAACAAAGGTTTTCCAGGAGGGTAAAAGATTTATTGAAAATTAATTTGCAAGATTACGTTTTCTTTTAGTTTTTAAACATTTATGTTTGTGAACACTTAACAGCTGATTCCCTAGTCTACATTTATTAAAAAATACTTATTAAGTGTTCTGTGTTAGGCACTGTGCAAGGAAGTTCTCATCAAAGATTACTTTATCTCAGCTCTCTCAGTGATTTAAGATTGAAGATTTACATTTTGGTCATTTTCCTGTGTCTCAGTAACAAAACAAAACAAAAACATTTCAACACAGGAAAAGTATGCAATGAACTCATTCACCCAGCTTAAATCCAACTTAAGTTTTTCTTTCTTTGTTTGCCCCCACTGGTGTCACCGCAACCCATGAAAAACTTCAAAATACCTGAAAAGCAAGGAAGCAGCCCTCTGTTTTCTGAATGGACAGGATTCCTAGCCAGTCTTGGCTTGCCTCCACCTGCCCCAGGCCAGGAAGGCCTGCCATTTTCCAAGTACATACCCTTCATTCAAAAATGTTTATCTGTGCTAAGCCCCATACCTTAAGCACTCGAGAATTTTTTTTTTTTTTTTTTGAACAGGACAGCACCCTGTCTCCTTGAATCCCACTCACACTTTTTACAATTTCAAATATGTGCTACTCAAAAGACCCACTGTCCAGAATCTTGGAAGTTTCTTAATCTCTTGGTAGATTGAATGTATCTCCTCTTTTATGTAGCCCGTTTTCCAGAGAAGTTTACATAACAGATGCTCTCCACAGAAACAATAAGCTTGTGTTTCTTTTTCCTTCTTTCTTCTTTTTATAAATTTTGCGTTCCTTACCAACAGTCTTAAGGACATCTAAAAAGTCACCCCTACTATTAGAAAAAAAAAGTATTGATACATTTTACAAACATTTCTTGACTGTATGTTAGGGCCTCTTCCTTTTGCTGATTACATGTAAAATAAGGGAACTATGGAGGTGAATGTTCCTGTTCCTACCCTCAAAAAGTTGATCTAACTGAGCAAATTAACAGACAATAACTATAGAACAAGATAAAGGAAACTAAAGGTAATAGAAAGCGCCATGCAGTGTTCTGACTCATAAGTGGGAGTCGAACAATAAGAACACATGGACACAGAGAGGGGAACAACACACTCTGGGGCCTGTGAGGGGTGAGAGGCAAGGGGAAGGAGAACATCAGCACAAATACCTAATGCATGCGGGATTTAAAACCTAGATGACGGGTTCATAAGTGCAGCAAACCACCGTGGCACAAGTGTAACTATGTAATCTGCACATTCTGCACATGTATCCCGGAACTTAAAGTTAAAAAAAAAAATCTGTACCCCAAATTCTCATGATACACTTTACCTATAAAGAAAACTTGCACATGTAACCCTGAAGCTAAAATAAAAGTTCACAAAAAAAGAAAAGAAAATGCCCTTCCCTCACATTTGCCAATACTGGTTATTTTTCAAATAAATCATCAATGATTGGAAAAAATGGTAACACATTGTTTGCTGATTTTCATTTTTCTGATTACCAGGTGAGGCTGAACATTCTAGTAAAAGTATAAAACTTGTTCACTATAAAAGCCCAAATTAGGATTAGTGTAATAGCACATAATTATCTCCTGTTAAATGTTGCCATAGGCTTACCTGTGATACTCTTCATTCTCCGTTCTAGGAAATTGCTGCTTTTCAGGTTTTCTTCTCTTTCTTGTGGAATTAGTCCATCATCACCATTGCCAGCAGCAGCACAATCAGCCAGGTTTTCTGATAATCCCATGTTATTACTTCCGTGCTTCTTTATTTCTTCTTCAACACTGAGTGGAAGTTTCATAGTAAGAATGGTTATTACTTTATACAATAAAAAGAAGTTTTTGTTTCACTGAAAAAAAAAAAAAGAAGAAAAATATAAAAGAAAAAGTGCCATGTAGGATAGGAAGGGGGCACAAATCACATTTGATTATAAAAGGAATTCATGAAAAAGCAAACTTATTATGGGCTGGAAGGATGTATAGAATTCCAAAAGGTATAGATGGCTTGCCTAAGTGGGAAG